GACCGATTTTGATGAATTACATTTTTTTCATTGCATATGACTTAGTAAAGTAAGATTATGCTAATTGTAGTAATTTTAATCAAAAATTTGTTAAACAAAAACAATTTATTTAATGCTAATCGTTTTTAAAATTGTTTTAATTGTCCGAAAATCTCCTAGTTAATAGAGCATAACTCTAATTGTCTGTTTTCCCTTAACAGGGGTTTATTTTACAATACTTTGTATTAATATCAGAATTTCATTGTCTTTAATACAAAATCAAATTTGTTGTCAAAATGTATTGAACAATTTTCATTCATTTATTATAAAAACCTATTTTTTGGTTAATTTTTAATTTCAAATGGCTTATGAAGAAAATTATGGTGAAAAATAAAAGAAAATTATGTTAGAAATTAATATCCAAAGGAAAACTACATATCGTTACCTAAAATGCAAAAGGGCGTAACGGCCAAAAATTTGAAAATTTACTTTTTGATTGATAATGATGCACGGCATAAAAATACGTGTTGTCAGAAATTGTCAGAACTCTTTTGTCAAAAACTCCGATTTTATTAACAAAATTCAAAAGGGCGTAATAACAAATTAGATTTTTCCACAATTAAGAGGGCGTAACAACAAGATACAATTTTGGCAAATCTTTCGAATTAATTTTTTTTTTGTGTTTTAAAATTATGAAACAATAAAGGTATATTCAGGTATGCGCTTCCATATGATATACCGATTCTATAGAAATTAATTACATCGAACATTTCACTGTTTCGAAATATAGGATTTGTATCTATATCTTATATCAAAAACAACTGGTGTTCAATATAAAGTCTAATATATGTCATAAGCCCAATAAAGGATTCTGATTCTGAGAAAACTTAATAGAGTTATTTTGAAACTTATTACATCGAACTTTAACATCATATCTATATTAATAAGAAATTTTTCAACATCAGAGTGATTTTTAAAGGAGGCCCTCCTTTGAGGACTTAAATCAATTATAGGCTGAACTGAACTGGATTTGAAAGATATATACATTTCTTAAAACCAATTTATCTCGAATTTTATTAATATACATATAATTTTATTCAAACAATTTTATAAAAGTAAACAATTTTTTAATACCTTATAGTAAAGTCACGTGCCTTAGTTCAACTTTATCGCGATTCAAATATTTGTAAGTTAATTATAAATGTTAAAGGAGATGTGGGCTGATCCACATTAAATTTGATAGAGGGGTTATATAATAAACAATACTTATTCAGGCTTATACTAGGTTAGTTGATTCATCGCTTAACTATAATTTTTAAGAATGTTTTGTGTGTTATAGTCATTTTCTGACAGAGATTGTTGTATGGGATCTAGAGTCAAATATGGTTTAATCTGATTCTTGGCCACTTAAAGCAGACTTATGTATGTTAAATTTGTTCACGATCGTTTCATAGTAAACGTACTTTCCAGCAATCAAATATTTTCTGGATATTCCAGGTGAAGATTTGTAATAACGTATGATGTAATTACGAACCGATATTAACCATTTCCAACAGAGTTTCTATTTGGGGCAAATATAAAAATATGTACCAAATTCAATCAAATTATATTATTAATTGCTTTCAAGCTGTACATACTAAACGGTTGATACGCCCGTTTGGTTTTAGAAAAGCCGAATTTAAAAGAGCGTATCGCACACAACTTACAGGAACAGCTGAAAAAACTGTTTATTCGTCAAAAAATAAATGTATCATTGTTGTTAGCTGCTATTGTGAAAAAAAAAAATAATAATTTTTATAAACACTGTAGCTTTCATTTTATTCAGTTTTTTATCTCTCCTGTTAAATTTCGAAAAGTGTTGTTACGAACTTTTGCATTTTAGGTAACGAAATAAATTGTAAATTTTTAAAAAAAAAAAATACATTTCAAACTTTTTAAGTATTTTTAGGTTAAAATACATTTACAAATAAAACTTTGTGTTAATACAAAATCACATAATGTAAAGGCCTTTTATAAACATATCATAGTATTTGCGACCTAATACATCGGCATTGCTAAATTAATTTTAATTTTTGTATATTGAAAAAAGTAAAACTTTAATTTTAAAAATTAAAAAAATTAAAAAAAATATATAAGTTAAAATTAAGACAATTTCGGCACATATTTCGATAAAAAGAGAAAATTCTACGCCTTTTTACCACAGAACTTTTAAAAAAATTTCAATGAAATTAAGGAAGAATCGGACAAAAAACAACGATTTTTATCATAAAAAGAAAAAAAAAATAAATTCTATTTATATTTCTCAGTGATTATACATATTATTAAAAAATATTAAGAATATATCAGTAGATTTGATAAAATTAAAAAATATTAAAAATTTGCTTCAAAAACTTGAGTTTTCTTAACATTTTTCTTTATTGTTTTATTAAAAATCGCCAAAGTTCAGGAAGAAAAATAAAAAAATTCTTTTACATTTTAGTAAATGTTATGTTTTGAAAAATATAAATCATAAGACATCGTTTTTCTATTTCAAAGAAATAAATATTTTTAAAAGAAAAATTATTTTTATTTATTTTTCGAATTCATTCTGAATGGATATTCAGGAGGGTGATTAGGCATTGATCTACCAATTTGTATTTATTATTGCCTTAGCATCAGAAAAATATGTTAAATGTCATTGTCCGGCACAGAGATGAGATTGGCATTTGGGTGCAGTTTTGTCTTCTAATACATGGAAATTCATGTTCCTCTAAAAATAATATATTTTTCAATACCATTTTCCATGCCACAATTTCACACATGTATTGTTAAACCATATGTGTTGATGGACCAAACCTTAATTTTCCAACATTACTACTGGATATGGAATTTTGCTACATCATGGCTTATTTCGCTTTCTAAAATTTAGTATTTTAATATTAAATATAATATGTTTTTAAATGTTTATATTTTATGCTTTAAACTTTTTAGTTGGAATTTTCTTGGTACCTCTAACCTCTAAGACACAGTTGAGTAGGAGTACAGGGAAGGGATTTCCCGTAACAAATGGTGTTCAAAAGTTACAGATTATTATATTTATAAAAAATCAGCATATAAATATTTATGTTTTGGAGAACAATGTTGCTGAGATCATCGAAAAACTGCACCCATACGCAAATTTGACCTTAGAGCCGACATATAACCTAATCATATTTTCTGCAGATAAGATGATTAACTATATAATGCTATATCGGTAATAAAAAATTCTCCTGAATATGAAGTGGTCAATACTTTCAGCATTTACAGTCAGTTATCCATTTTAGGAGATTAATGCGCAAACATATCGAAATACATAGTCATCCATAAAAACTTTATATTTAATATCAGATAGACTTACATACAATTTATAACCAAAAAATAACGTTTCGGAAAGCAATTTATTACTTTATTAAACATTTAAATCCATCGTTTGTAGACTTTTATGAAATTCAGAAAATGAAAAAATTAATTTTTCTTTTAAAAATATTTTATTCATTGGAATATTTTATTCACCGAACAGAAACATCGTTTGTATAATTATCTGGCATAGTGATTAATTTGTTGTCATGAATTTAATTTTAATTTAATTTATTTCCAAAATAAACCTAGCCTATTGGCCATAATCGGTTACAAATTCCATGAGAAATTAAGAATTGACCGATGGTCTTCAGATTTCTTTGATTTTTTGTGAACACGTACTCTTTCTTTTGACGCCCACAGTACATTTAAAACTGTGAGCGTCAAAAGAAAGTGTACACAGCATTGCTCTTTCGTATCGGGGAAATGCTTAAATTTCATCGAAAGACGGTATTTAGGTAAGCAACCGAATGGAGTAATTATGTTTTCGGTAGCTTTATTCGGATTTTGCTAAAAATAAGTTAAAATATATAAAAATAAATAATGTATAAATAGACTACCCCCGTACCGTGAAATATCGTTTCTAATTTAAATAAAAAAATGTGACGAATTGTAAGAAATAGTCATTGAACAAATTTTCCGACAAATTTTCTCGATGTGAAAAAAACGGAGTACAGGACGTAATCGTGAGGATCGAAGCCCAATTCCCTGAAAATTGTTGTTGAATTACCGAAAAATATAACAGTTACACCAGGGAACCTAGTGGATATATGTATGTTCAATTCAAAGACCACTTCAATAAACACTCTACATACCAGAAAGCCTCTTAAGAAACCTTATTTTCATATCAAAAATTAATCAACAAAACTGAATAAATTTTACAAAAATTGGTCTAAACTCAGATCATTACTTCTGGTGATATATTTTATTAACAAGCAAATAACTCAAGTTGCACTTGCATCAAAAATGCATTTATCTTCAAAAATATTATTTAGAAATGCATTTTGATGAAAGTGTACATTTGTGGTAATCGAATTTAAATATTTGCATCCCAATTCTGATCAGTACATTCAGTCCTCTATCACTTACTCGATCAACTCGAAAACACCTCAGCTCAAAACATGAGAAATTTCATTGCTATTGTTCCAAATTCGGTATTTATTTCCAAAAATAGAAAATTCTAAATCTATAGAAATAAAAAAGAGCGAGATAATTCTGTAAATTCTAAAGGATTTGACCGATTCTTCGAAGAAATAGAATCGTTTTAAAAATTAATCATATCCGAGGTGTACTACTTTGCGGACCTCTGACTACGCCCCTGGTAGGCCTATGAGGTCTAAATTCAAAACCTAATTAGAATTGGACAAACCGTTTAGAAGTTACATAATTGTTTTACTCTTTTTTATTTCTATACCACTGTGTGACGCTTTGTAATTATAAATCACACACAATTTTTATATAATTCTTTGATATAAATTACAAAATATAACCCGCAAGTTTTTCCAAAATATGTTAAAAAGTCATGATTAAAAAAATCTATCGGGAATTGCGACAGATGCCAGCAATTCCCATAGTGTGTATATCATTAATTAAATATAATTAACTTTTTATTGTATTTTCAATGTAGTTAAGAAGAAAGTACTTACCTCGACCTTCGCGTCGCAGGGTCTTTCATAACCATTGCCTCTGAAATTTCACCAAAACGACTAAAATAGTCTTTTAAACTCTCTGAAAAGACAAACAAAGTAATAAAATAATATCATTAATTAAGTTTATTATTATGTATACGTATTCCTGTCCTCGTGCAAAATTAAAATGTAAATATCGTCATATGAAATGCTAAATAACGTATATAAAAGGAATTTTATCAATTTGTATTAAAACAGGATGTATACCCAGCAAAAAAAAAGAATTTCCAAAGAAGCGAAAAAGAGTTAGAATTTACTCCATGGATGTACTGAAAAAGACCTGAAGAAGTGATGATTTTAATACAGACAAACGCAAAAAATTCACTTAGTGTTACTTTTGAAATGGTGATCAGCGTTGCGACTCACAATTTATTTTTCTTACCTAAGTTCCGACAAAAAACTACCAAAACGTTACAAAAACTACCAAATTTTTCCTTAGGTACAATTGCTTCTGTTTAGAGTTCCATTATTTTTAAAACTAATATGTAATATCATACAATGATTTGTTCTAAATAATCAATGGTTTACTTTTACGTAATAAGATAAAATTTCCAAATACTATATAGTTATGAAATACATAATTGCTGTTTTCGACAAAATTTGTACCAAAATCATTCCCGAGAAAATTGTAATAGTATTATATTCGGCTATGATGAATCATATATGTATATTCACCATCTATCGTATAAATTGAGGACTTTATGGATAAATCCTTTTATTATACTACGGTTAACTAATTGCTATTTATTGATAATAAAATTATTTTCCGTAAAAGGGGATATATGGCTGTAATAGGATCAATCGTGGACCAATCGACATAGATTTCGGTTGTTAAAAAACTGTTTCAACAGACAGACGGGAGGACATGGCTATATCGTCTTAGAATCTAATAAGAACCTAGAAAAAATATATACTTACAAGCGGAATCACAAAATCAATATACCCCTAATATTTTTATACCCATCAAAAAAGGATTGGGGTATATTAATTTTGCGATTCCGTTTGTAAGGTAGTAGACCCACCAAATTATATATTTATTCATGAATCTGGCTTCTTAAAAAAAAAATGAATTAGTGTGGCCTCCAGTAGGTTAGTGGTTTATGTTATAGTCAGACCTGACGTCGTGCATTCGATTCCCACCTGAGGCATTGGTTAGGAAGTGCACAACGGGACCGCTGCAGGCCTACAAGTATTCCTTCGGATTTTATATAACATCCTCATTTCAAACTAACTAACTTAATAACATGCACGAATCAGAAATGTTGAAATACATAGAAACTTAATATTTTCATAGAACAAACAATATAAACTTAACAAGGATAAACCTAAGATTGACGTATTTATTAAAATTCTTATTACTTTGCCATAACAAGGTCAGAAATGTTTATAAATTCATATGCATGAGATCAAAATTATCTCATCCTACCAAATTTGGACCAAAATTTAAACCTACCAACCAAACTACCAAAAGTCATTTCAGAGATTTGAAACTACCAATTTTGGTCCAATTGGACCAAAGTGGCAACGCTGGTGGTGATAAACGTTATTCTTTTGGAAGTACTTCGTTTTATTTTTGCCGGGCTTTTACGAATTTTTTGATTTTACGAATTGGCTTGACATTACATGTGTATTAAACCGACTCACTCTATACGGAACGCAAAAACGTGTTTTTATTACCCCTCTCAAAATTTACCTTGCTTTGTTTTATGATGACTCCCAAATATTTTAAGTCTAGCGATGACCGTTCATGAGCTGGACTGAATTAACAAAAAACTATTTTATAATTATTTTTTTCCAATACGGGGTATCGTTTGAAAGAGGTTTTAAAGCCGCGTCCAATGATGTATTAATCATAAATAACCGTTTGCTCATAATTGTCATATTCCAAAAAAATTTAAAATTGTTAGGTTTTTCATTAATATAAATAAAATGTATACACAATTTTGCAAGATTTGCACACCACTAGACGTGACTTCATAAAACCTTTCAAATGATACCTCATATTGTATATTTTGTTTAAGATAGACCGGTCATCGATAGACTAGAAATATTTTGGGAACCATCATAAAAGATTGAACTGAACATAAAAAATCGTGCCTCCCGCCCCACACGATATTTTATTGAAAACTGTCCAGCTCACGAACGGACAACACTAAACCCAAAATATTTTTAGTAACATCATATTACATAACAGAAAATATTTTGAGGGGGTAACTCAAGCACTATTTTTTGTGAGTCGGTCTAATGTGTATATCTTTCGTTAAACCGATTGTAACGTGTGCCAAATAGGTACATACATACATATGTATATTAGGGTGACCCCAAAATTAAAGAAACTGTTCCCACCGACAAATTTAGTATCATATGAAAGGTTTTGAGAAAAGGTCCAAAATTATTACAAATGTTATTTTCGGAAAATTTTTTTCATATTTCTGGCAAATAAACCATATGCAAATTTAGTATCATATAAAAGGTTTTTAGAAAAGGTTCAAAATAATTACAAATTTTTTATCCTTTGATCCAGCTCACAAAATATTGACCGCAGTACAAACATTTTGAGAAACAGTATCTAAAAATCAATTAAACTTCAATTTTAGTTGGGAACATTGACGCCTCATGTTTCCTCCATACAAATGTGGCCACCTTAATGTATATATTATCGAATAGTAAAAAGTACTAATATGTTACAGCTCTATTCAGCTATCAGTCTTCGTGCACTCCTCCTTCAACTTGGTCTATTACTGCCATTGCTGCTAGGTTTCCTGAACATATGACCGCAAAATGATTCATTATTATAGTATGTTAGTGGCACTTTTATTTGGTAATATTTATACAAACTTTTACAAAAAGAACAATATCAATCTATGCAGCAACTTAAAACGCGTTGCCAATTGTATAACAGCGACGATTAGATACAACTGTAGCTTTTACGATTATTACACTACTGTGTCTGGTTTCTTTCCTTTATCTCTTTTTTCCTATCCCCATATTCTTGATATATTATTGTTTCCTGTTGTAATGTTTATTTAACTTTTGAATGAGATTGTAGAACTATATACCAAACTGATTTGCGTTTCGGTTTTTTCTGTATTTATAAATGAGCAAGAGCACAACCAACCCCTAGGATTATTCAAAACAAACCTCATCAACCACAGAATGATTGTGATTGACGCAATGCAGATTCATTCTATGTAGATTGATCCGTAAAATTTTACCATTCTTCTTTTTTATAAGTTTGTTAATATATTTAATAATAAAACCATAAAATCGCGCATTTTAAAAGAGAATATGTATAAAATAAAAAGAAATATGTACATTAGGGTAATAACTTTTATAAGTAAGTCGAGCTTTAAAAAGTTTCCTTTTTCAAGTTTTTAATATTTACTCTAACCAAAATTATAATATTTAATTCAAAATTGGAAATAAGCAAGTGCGATTGTTTGACCCACGATATTTATACAGGAAAAAGCTGCGGTATATCCCTTTCTAAATTAAGTATCCAAACTTGTAGATTATACTATTAAAATTTCATGTAAATTTGTTTTGTGAATTGTGTTAGAAAATCGATTTGACGCGGAAGGTTTTTGCACCAAAATGACCCGTTATTATTTTTTTTATTTACACAGGAAAAAGCTACGGCTTATCCATTTTCTAAATTAGGTACCCAAACTTGTAGATTATACTCTAAAAATTCATGTAAATTTGTTTGTGAATGGTGTTAGAAAATCGGTTTTTGCCTCAAAATTACCCGTTATTAAGATACTGCTGCCTACTACGTAATAATAGGGCCTAATTTTGGTTATAATCCTAATGCACAAATCAGAGAACGGTTTGAATGCTTATTTTTTGGATTATGAATACAATCGCATAAAACGAGCCTTGAAATGACAATATGCACTAATTTAATAATGCAATACACGGCACTATTCAAAACAAATGAGTGTAACGAAAAATGATGCTTGTATTGCTTGTCTTCTGCAAATGTCAACGAATAATCTCAAAAGCAACGAATACAAAACGATTGGTATGAATGGTTTTAATGCTGATTGAATAAGTTGTAAGAAAAAATTAACTTAAAAATTTTTCCGTGTTTTTACTTATGGAATGCCGATTATATTTTCTAAAATTCATAAAAATTTTTAGTACTTTTTATCTCATAAATGGTACTTTTTAAATTTTCTAAAATATTCAACCTAGGAACATAAATTTTAACATACATGGTCTTGACTGAATAATATTCTGTAAGTGGGAACTCTTTGGTACTTTTCCATTCTTCAAATGGTACCTTTTGGATTCTCTTTAATGGTTAACCGGAACATATGACACACGGTTCTTATTAAATGAGAATTTATTGATTCTTGTACATTTTCGTTTTTCGGATGGTACCTTTTGATATTTTTATGATATTGAACATATAAAATTTAAATTGTAGGTATCTTAGTGAATGAGAATCTACTGAAAGGGACTTTTGGTACTCTTCATTCATCAAATTATATTTTTTGAATTGTATATAATATTGAACACAGAAACATAAAATTGTTTATTAAATGAGAATCTATAAGAGGTATTTTTTTTTTAAATATAAATTTTCTATAATGTGGAAGCTAAACGAATGAAACTAAAAATACAATCTTTTTCCTGAATGCGAATTTATTCACGTGATATTGAACGTAAAAACTGAAACATTAAAAACATTTTTAATCAATTTTAATTTTCTATAAAAGTAAACCAAATTGTGCATGTATTTAATTTTGATTAGGGTAGCGAAGCACCCAGGGTATGCTAGTAATTAGCATAATTAAGTTTGATATAATTATAATTTATAAATAACACTGTAGATTTTCGTAGAAGTGTCCATAGTATCTCTTAACTACGTCTAATATACTACTATCTATCCAAGCACTCAAAAATATTTGTCCTGTAATATACCAGTCGGTTCAGAATTACTTTCTGATTTGATTAAGCTATGTCCGTCTTTGTCTTTCAATATAGTTTGTTAACATTTGTCTGCATCCAATGACGAAGGCTGTTGAAAATGAT